TGGTGTAGGCACCTGAAAGCAAACACGATTCATTATATTAGATTGGCAATTGACTGACGGACTCTATATCGGCTAGTTACCAGTCCTCAATATGTATATGGGTATGAGGTAGAGCAGAGCATGCTGTATCCAGTAGGTGGCCTGCTCGAAAGGATAGGTCCGGCCCTCGACTTCGGAAAATAAAAACGCAAGAAAAGGCCCATTCAAATTGCTCATCTGAATGCGAAACAAAGCAGTTGTTACCTTCGTGGGCTTGGCGGCCAGCAAATATATCTAGAAATAATAGAATATGAAATTATTATATAATGATATAATGCTGAATTGTTAGCGTAGTGTAAGCTATACCGAACACTAATAAATACATGTACGTCCTAAACTATACAAATGTCCACTACACATACATATGTCCATTATAGACCAAATCCGATTCGGTCGGGAGTGAGTATTATGCAGTCGGTAGCACCCGACAGTGCGACATTCTCATTTAATTGACATACATATAGATCTCACCTGAAGACACGTTTGCACATGGCATGGATTGAGTGCAAAGATCATCGAGCCGCCGGCCAGCTTGAAGCCCATCTCGATGCCAAAGATGACGGACATTGATATTAGCAGCAGCAGACGCATCGCACTGTGCGGCTTCTGGATCTCGTGGGCGGGCGGTAAGCGTATGGGAGCTAGGCGCTTCCACGATCCATGCATGATGTAGATGAAGACGACGGAGAGCAGTGCCGTTTCGGTCCAGCGTCGTCGATCGGTCATATAGTTGATGCACTCGGGTCCGGTTGTCCTAGGTATTTCGTCCGTAATGCCACCCACAGCCCAGTCCCAATCCATTTTGCTTCTTTTGTCTTAATGCGTTTGCGTTCAGCTGTAGCCTCGACTCTATAAGGAACTGCAATATAGAAATGGGGTAAGAACTTTTAGCAACAACCCCCTAAGTCGGCACTGGCATTGAAAATTAACCGCATTGCGTGTCGCTAACAACCCAAAAGGCATAAAACCAGATAAAGAAAATTGTTTTTGTTTGCAAAGCGTTTAAATAAATTGCTTGGCGCAAGCCTTCCAAACAAACCCCATTAAAAGTGGGTCTGGACCTATAATGGAAAAAATACAAATCGAGCTCTCTGAAACCCCAAGAAATACTCTCATAAAAACGTTTTTTAATATATGTTGAAATATGTAAAAAAAAAGCACGGTATATGATAATATTTTATTAATATAAACAGAACTACTGTAAATAGTAGACTGATCTAAGTAACATTCTAAACTCTCGATTGCAAAGTGGCCTCTAGAGTTTTTGCTAATACCTACAACTAATCGCCGTTAAAAAGGGTATTCAAACTTCGACTTAAGTTTGGCCTTTGTTTTTCTCTTTTACTTCCGTCTTTATTACGGAAAACGTGAAACAATTCGGAGCATGAGTAAAAATACGTTAATGCCAAACAGGTGTACGCTAAACCCATTTACCCAAACCTCACCTCAGCTAACCATCCAATCTAACCTGCAACCCCACTCAGACCTCGCATTCCTTTTTTGGCCACCTGTCAAGGGAGAGGCGTTGCATACATGGGCGTGGCATGTGCATTGTGTGGGCTGGTTGTTAAGTTGACAGCAATAAAGTAAAGCAATAAGAAAAGAAAGCAAAGAGGTCAGCTATTGAGCTGGCTTTAGGGCAAGGTATAACGGCAGGTGACCCGTGCAACAATGCTCTATATATTACAAAACTAAATTGAAAATGAATTGTTGTCGACGTTGACAGCTGCCGCAGTTGCGTCTAAACTTGGCCAAGTGCCAAGATCGAAAGCAAGATGTCAGATGCTCAGCGGAATACCCTTCCTATTTCCATTCTCAATAGTAGCAACTGTAGTTGCCTGCCTTGAAGCAACAACCACTTTGTCTACACACATACAGATACATGCATCAACAAATGACACAAAAAATACACGCACTGTCATTGTAGCACATGAATTATAATGCTTAGCTATGGACTGCTGAATATTTCGACGCCTGTGTCCATCTATGCATAGAGTGCACTTTTACAATCACATATTTTAAAGCCTACTTTCCAGCGTCCGTTTGCTGACGAATGACGACCTACTCACACTCACACATCTAGGCTTGATGAGCCATATATGTACATGCAAATATCCAATGTCATACACACAGACACACCCGCAGACAGACAGTAAACAGCCGTTATTGCACTTTTCATTGTCAAGAACACGCAGAGAGAGCAAATGCATGTGCTAGTGAATCGGAAAGAAAGAGAGTGTGAGAGAGAGAGAGAGAGAGAGCGCAACGGCAGAAATAGGAACAAATAAATTGTTTACAAGGTTTCAGAATGGAGAGAGCGAGCAGAGCAGCGACAGCAAAGCTGGGCCGGCCAAGCGCCATTTGTGTCAGCTGATTGCTAAAAGCAAGCGGCAGAGGGCGCCACCCCAGCAACACAACAGCCATTTGATAATTCGATTTTTCAATGCGTTTAATACTCTAATGAGCTTAATTAGCAAAATACATATAATTTAACTGTAGATTTACTTAAAATATTTATTTATTGTTAATATTTTTTTACTTCTGAGTTACGCTATTAATACACACAGTCACGTGACTGCTTAGAAAGCTTTACGCGATACTTGAATCCACTTTTTTTCTACTTTGGACACATTTTGTTTATATGAGAGCACATTCTTGATTTATTTATATTCATGCACTCGCTCACTTATGAAATTGCATTGTGAATTGCCTCGAAATGAAAAGCGCAACAATAAAATAAATAGAATTTATGCTAGCAGCGTATGATAATACACGTCGCAACGTCAACTGTAAATGCGACTGCGATTCTTACTGACTGATTGTTGGCGCTCTGTGTGTTCTTATTCCCCAACTGGGGGTTGTTTCCGGTCGTGATTTGTTTTCGATTCCTTTCACATAACTATAAATATTTAGCATTGAAGTGCCATAAGCTCGAATCGAAGAGAACTTAGCTACGTTAATTGTGATATATATTTGTATATCTTTTCGGCTCTAGCAATATTCTGAAAATGTACTGAGATATAAACTAAATTTCCACATTTTGACTCCCAAAGTAAACGTTGCTCCTTTCAAGTCCTTCAACATAAGCATATTCACCACAGCATTAGCAGCGCCAAATCTACCACCCTGTAAACCCGCTCAGAGAGCGTACGGTTTGCATGCTCTCTTTATAGCATTCGTATGTTAAACGAGGTCTCTGGCAATTTGGCGCCAAAACAACGTATGAGAAGCGAGCAAAACAAATACATATGCACATATATGCATATGCAAGCACAAAAATTTACAGGCACATAACACATATATATACATATATATATAGGAAGATAGCTGCATATACATATATACATATATATGTATGGCAAATTGGATTATAAGCAGACAAGAAATGCGAACGCGAATGAACACAAAATGTTGATCTGCTGAGAGCAGCTTTGCCGATAATTATGAGATACATATGTATGTATGTATGTGCATATGAGTGTATGTGCACACTCATGTAGGCATATATGTATGTACATACATATATGTATGTACATATGGGTCAATGCATAGTGGGTGATATAATTAAATGTATTAGTGGGTTATTTAAAGTAAACGCAGCTCTTAAGTATTAAAAGTCCGTCAATTAGACAATATTTTATTGCTAAGCTTTTAAGTAACCTCGTAAAAAGTGCTCGACTAACGATAATGCGCGAGTTTACCGTTAGCGACCGTAATAGTCAAGCGCGCGAATGTAACTGTAATTAAGCGTATACTGAGGAAGAACGATGAAAACAGAGAACCATAACATTAACAAGAATGTAATAAGTGAAATTGACCGACTAGCAGATATCCTGTACGTAATAAATCTGAAATTTCAGTAAATACTGAAATTATCGAACTTATTAACGATAGATATTTACTAAGCAAAATAAGCCTACATTTCAAATAGAGTTCAAAACAAGAGAATGTATTTTTCGAAATAACACAAGCAATTTTACATATATGTCGCTATCAATAATAACTGGAATCCATTAATTTATAGGGTATACGAACTACATGCGACAAAGCAAGTGGCATGATATCTATGGCAAATGGAAAACAAACTGCGAGTAGAACAGCAACAGACACATTCATGTAAATCAAATTAGCCAAATGCAAATGAATTATTTACAGTTATGGTGCACATCCGCTATTCCAATGACGTTTCCTAATAGTGGAATAGTTAACAGTTGCCCTTGATTAGATTACACACACACACACACATGCGATGTATGTGCATGAAAGGCAATGCCTCTAATAATTGAACTAATCGATAAATCGATGTGACAAATGATTGTTAAACACCTGATGTGACAAGAGCCAAATGGATCGAACTGCTGGAATAACGGTAACTAAGAAATGCAAGCACAGTGTTGCACTGAAAACAAATTCGCACCAACAAGTAGACGGCATCTCGGCTATATATTTCTTTTGTTAAATAAAAGACATTTATTTTAATAAAATACATATTTAATATATATTCATTTGTATAATACTGAAATTTTGATAAATAATTTGAATACATGAATTTGGAAATCTGCTGAGCTTGGTAATGATTCGATACTTAAAAGCAAAATGATTTCGCCAACTTAAATTGCTATTATTCACAATCCATTCCATAAATAGATATTAGCAGATATTGAAATATTCCACTAACTGTTCATTAATAAGTCTCTTAGACGATAACCATCCAATGTCTAATACGATGAATGGAAAACATGTGCATTCGCCACGGTGGTATCAGCCTTATAATCATAGATTTTGTGCAAAAGCTGACTAACCACTCGTGTCAGTTTACTATCTGGACTGAACTTAATTCCATTTAACACAATCTTAGATAGTTTGACAAGTCCAAAGAACACGTATAACAGTTTACCCTGTAATTACTCTACGTACTCCCGGTATACGAAGGTATTCTCAGCGTAAAACAAATATATTACTTCTGCTCTAAACGCTTAAAATATCCATATGGAATTTAGTGCTATATTGACTCTGAAAATTATTACAACTTGACTAATCTGATAATCTATCCGAGGTGTGTATATACAAGTATATACTATACACAATGTATCAGCATTTATCCAAATTTGGAAGATTTCACTAAAGGGCATCTGCTCGTAGGTCTGTCTGTGAGTGTGACTGTCTAATTCTTTGGCTTGCCTTGGAGCTCTGCTTGGATTTGATCCAAAGTCTTGGCTTTTGTCTCAGGCACAACAAAAATGAACAAAAAGGCTAACAATGCGATGGCTGAGAACGTCCAAAAGGTTGCCGCCGGCCCCATGTGCTCCAAGCATATCGGAAACAATATGGTGACAAGAAATCCAAATATCCACGTCAATGTGCCAACTATAGCGCCACACAGCGGCTTCACATCCTCCGCAAAGAGCTCGGCCATGATCAACCACGGCACGGGGCCAAAGGCCATCGAGAAGGCGAAGACGAATATGCAGACCACTACTATCGGCAGCCAGTCCACATGCTTGCGCATTAGCCAGTGGAAGTAGACCCCCATCAGGAAGTGGCTGACGCACATTATGGCAGCGGCGACAAACAGGAATATACGGCGCCCGCCACGATCGATGAACAGGATGGACGGTATGACGGCAACGCAGCCAACGATTCCGATTATAATGGTGCAAACCTCAGATGCTATTCCGGCGCCAGCGTCCTCAAAGAGCTTCGTCGTATAGAAGGCAATGGCGTTGATGCCACAAAACTGCTGCAGGGCGAGCAGCGTGATCGATATGCCAAGGCCCTTGCGGGTGGTCTTGCGGCACATACCGTCGTGCATATTGACCTTCTCCTTCTTAGCCTCGGCAGCCATGGCACTCAAATCGGCGGATATATCCACATTCTTTCCGCGCAGCCAGTAAATAATCTTCTCCGCCTTATCCAGTTTTCCTTTCTGCACGTAGTATGCGGGCGACTCGGGCATCCAAATGAATAACAAGAAGTAAACAGCGGGAATGATAGTGGAGAAGATGTTGAAGACCAGTAAGCTGACATAGCCGCCGACGATGTAGCTGATCAATATGCCAATGGTGAGCCACAGCTGATAAAAGCAGCCCATTAAGCCGCGCGTTGCTACTTCGGATATTTCCGTATTGTAGATGGGCACCAGTATAGTGTAGACCCCGACCGAGGCTCCCGTTAAGAATCGTCCCACCTGCGCCATTATCACATGCGTTGCTGTAGTGATCAAGATCCAGCCCAGCAGCAGTGGAATCACCACCGCCAGCATCACCATTTTGCGTCCACAAACGCCAGCCAAAAAGCCAACCGGCAAACAAGTGCAAGCAGCGCCCAGAGGTACCAGCGCGGCCATCCAGCTGAATTCGGCATCGCTGGGCTTAAAGCGCTTATATCCTTTCCCTTTTGCTATTAGCATTTGGGCTGGTCCCGACCAACCCAAAACCATGCCCAGGCATAGGCCGCCAAGTGAGCCAATCGAGCCGGCAATATATTGTTTTTTTATGCCCATTTAAATATATGAAATCATTTATAGATATATGTAGAGGTATGTATACATATGTATATGTATAAAATTATATTAAAACGGTATTATTATTATTTTTTTTTTTTTTTTTTTTTACAAACTATGTCAAATTACTACAGTGTGCTAGATTCTAGAAAATTTTAGAAAGTTTGCAAAGCTTTCTGTAAAGTGAATCTGGTATCTGTTACCAATCAAGCCTAGATCTATACTAAACTAAAGCTGAAAGCACAATACACTAGCCGTCCTATATTGTACCTATATTATAATGTAATATACCAATACAATCTTTGTTATACCTTTTCTCTACTTATGCCATATTTTATATATATTGTATACTGCACTATTATACCTTTACTGCACTACATCATTGTACACTATACTAAAATTCTGGATGAAAATACAGAAAGTGGAAATCAGTAATCCAAGATTGACAAATGCAATTCTCTTAAGCAACCAACTCAACAGTGATGCGACCCAGTAATGAAAGATGAGTTTTGATTAAACAACATTTATTTATAACTATTATTTGCCGGAGAGCATAGCTTGAATATCATCCAGAGGCTTGTTCTTTGTTTCTGGGACGAAAAAAATTACAAATACGCAGCCCAAAACTGCAAAAATTGTAAATATCCAAAAGGTAAAGGAAGGACCGATTGCATCTAATGTAAGTGGAAACAGTTTGGTCACGCAAAATGCAAAAAGCCAACTGGAGGTGCCTACAATTGCACCACACACCGGCTTCACATCCTCTGAAAAGAGCTCGGCCATGATTAGCCACGGAACTGGGCCGAAGCCCAACGAGAATCCAACTATAAATAAGCTTATTGCTAAAATTGGTAGCCAGCCAACATCCTTCTTTTTGAGCCATTCAAAGTAACACCCCATTATTAGGGTAGTGGCACCCATCACAATTGCCGAGATGAGCAGCAACAGTTTGCGCCCAGCTTTCTCTACCAATAATATTGCAGCTATCGTGGCCACCACCTGGACGAGGCCAATGATAATAGTGCTAATATCGGCGCTCAGATTCGTGCCAGCTTGAATAAAAATGGAGGTCGCGTAGAATAGAATGGCGTTGATACCTGTCAACTGCTGCAAGAGCATGAGTGTTATCGCTATACCCAGACCCTTAAGGGTCACCTTACGCGAGAAGGCTTCTTTAAAGGAGGCTGTCTCCTTTTTCGATTCTGCTATTATCGTGTTCAGTTCTCCGGAAACATCATTATCGCCTCGCAACCACTTCAGTGCCTTCGCTGCCTTCTCTGTCTCGCCCTTTTGGGCAAGGAACACTGGCGATTCGGGCATCCAAAACATAAATAACACAAACAACAGTGGTAGGATGGTGCACAGGATGTTAACCACGAGTGGTTCACAGTAGGCACCCACAATAAAGCCGTAGAGAATGCCATGCACAATCAATAATTGAAAGAAACAGCCCATTACACCACGTACGGAGAGCTGGGCGACTTCCGTTGTGTAAACGGGCGCCATAACACAAAACGAGCCGCCGCAGGCGCCGATAATAAATCGGCCTACGTACAGCATGGCAGAGTGTTGCGCACCTAGAATCAATCCCCATCCAATTAAATAAGGTATACATATGAACAGCATGATTAATCTGCGTCCAAATTTGGCAATCAATATTCCCACGGGTATGCACATGCAAGCAGCTCCAAATGTTAACATCGAACTGATCCAGCCCCAACTATCTCCTGATACGGTAAATTTATAAGCTTTTCCTGATTTTATTGGGGGCTCCATTGGCCCTGTCCAGCCAATAGAGGCGCCCAAGCAAAATGCTCCGAATGCCGCTGCCAAGCCAGCGAAATATTGCCTGAGTACAGGCATTCTTAATGTCTAATATTTACTTGTTCTATAAATTTTCAAATCAATAAATGTCCGAGAAGATAAAACTTATTTCAACGTGAAACTATCTGCCGAACTAGATTTTGTACAATAAAAAAAAACCGAATTTGGTAAGCCAACTATGTTTCAATTTGAACTAAAAAAGCGCTGAAGCCGCCTAATTCAAAATTTATATTCATTTTTGAATTGTTGTTTATGCTGCACCAAACATAAAGAGTTTCATATTCACCACAGCTCCAGCACTAGCAGCGCCCACTGTTAAAAAGCACGCGTGAGTCGCCAATGCCATATGGAGTGGAGTTTGAATGGAAATATCACCACAGATGAGTCGTGAGTGGCGTCCTGTTTCAAATCGCCTGGCCGTTTACACCTTGCCATTATCCACAGAACACATAGACCCGACAAGTAGTGTAAAGCGTTTTGCACACTTTTTTTCGAGCATTACTTCCCAGACCACTTCGTATTTGCTCGGCTCCTCACTTTTAGGTTCGGGCTACGAAGATTTGGGAACACATTTAGCTTTATGCGCACGGCCGAGATGGTCGACTGTTGAACAAAAGATCCCTCTACGCTGAATGTTTCCCTTGCTCTCTCTCCCCCTCGCGATGCTCTCTGCTCTCTCAAATATGTATACACTTCGCGTCATCAGGTTAGCGCCCCCCCTTACACTCATTTTCTTTTACGTTTTTCTCTTTGCCTATTGCAAGTAACTTCTTGGTTTTTTTTTTATTTCATTATCATCATATGAGATGTCTCTCATACCAAAAAAAAAGCGCGAGTGAAAACCCGTTATGTTTTATTTTCTATTCTGCTCTATTTTCGCAAAAAATGTGTGCACTTATTTTGCGTCATCAGATTAGCGCCCCCAAATGCAATTGTAATTATCTTGCTTATTTTGGCAATTACACTCACCAAATTTTTTGTGAAGCTCAAAGTATTCAATATATTTATAGTATGGGTAAAGAAACAGTTTTATCTTTGGTTGAAAATCAAAGATTGAGGCATACTTTGAATCTAGACTATGCAACCATAAAATTGCTGAAAAATCAGGAAAAAACACAAAACTAAGTGGCAATTTTCTTACAAATAGGGAAAACTATGGAAAAAACTATATAAGCGGCAATAATCAAGTGATTTCAGAAGGAAATAGAAGAGCATTAGTTCGAGAAGCTTCGAATTCCCACGAATCGACCACCAAGATTAGGGTTAAAATCAGTGTTAAGACGAGCTTATCAACGGTCTAAAGAGCAATTAAGAAAGTTAATTACTTAAAGAAACAGAATGTAAAAAAAAAGTCACCAGTCGATATGCTGAGAAAAGAAATACGCATTAATTTTGGCCGGGCGAACATGACGTGGTCTACCCAATGGCAGCATGTTGTCTTTTCTGATGAGAAAAATTGAATTTTGAAGGAGCTGATGGCAAAATTTATTATATCCATGACCTACTCATAGAAGAACATTATTTGGAACGGTTTCCAAGCCGCTGCGGCGGGGGGGTGGTGTGGCATTTGTGTAGGTATCAATATCTTACTACAGCACTTGCAAGCTTCAATTTTTGACATCGCGCATGAACGCATAGGACCATAATATCGTGTTTAAAACTGCTGTTCCACATTTCTATAACCTGTCTGAAAACCGGCATTAGATTTTCCAGCATGATAATGCCCCAATTCAGACCGCCCGATCCCTGAAGTCCTGAATTCAGGGCCAAAAAATTGATCTCATGGAGTGGCCACCATACTCACTCGACCTTAATATCATTGGAAACGTCTGGGGATGGTTGGTCAGGAAAGTATATGAGTCCGGAAAGCATTATAGTACAAAGACAGAGTTAATCGAAGGTACTGAACACGCTTAATCAACCATATCCTTGAATAACATTGAACAACTTTATAATTCCATTCCTAATCGAATTTTTTAAGTAATTTCAAACAAAAAACGGCACTACGCACTACTAATATTACTTAAAAATAACAATAGCTTAAAATACAGGTGTTATTTTTGGTAATTAACTTAAATAAATTGAATTTAGTGCAGGGGGCGCTAATCTGATGACCAAATTTTTGTTACATGTTTTTTGTACATTTTACAAAAAAAATTATTAAAAAATAATCCTTATTGTTACAGTAGCCATTCTTTTTGTATTTTAAAGAGAAATAAATGGAGTATAATGTAAAAAAATTTCAAAGATGGAGCTCTGCTGGTTTAGATTTTATTTAGCTTTGAGGTTGAGTGTAAAGGGGGGCGCTAACCTGATGACGCGCAGTGTATGTACATATGTATGCATGTGCTCTGTGGTTAGTGACCTTGCATAGAAAGTCCCTAGAGTCCTCGACATTAAACATTTGTTTTACTATCTCAATATCAGTATCCGCTAATTCCATTTACTCTTGACAAGCATAGGCTAAGTGGGTATTGAACAGAGCTTGAAGTCAAACTCTTTCAATTGCTTTTAGACTCAGCTATGTATATGCTTTTATGTTTCATAGATCATAGACTCTAGTGTATGCTGTACCCATCTGTGAAGCTTTCATATTAATAAAGCAATCGACTACATAATTACTAACTTTATTCTGGATGCTTTTTTATAACACTTTTACAATCATGTTGGCGGTGCTGATGCAGTGAAGCTAAGTTCTGAATCACCCAGGTTAGGCGCAACAGCAATAACAATACTATGGTAGTCACCTCGTATTCGTTCTCATTTCGTTTTTTTGTTTTATTTTTTTTTTTTTTTTTACGAAATAACTTTTCGTTATTGTAAATCATTAGCCTTGTTTTAGCTTTCTAGGGAGTACTTAAGCTCGTACTGCAGATACTGGAATTTATTGAATTTGGCGTCAATCCTATCAATTTTAAAACTCGAAAAATAATCTAAAAATTGTTCCAGCAATTGCAATTGAGTGCAATTAATTTGAAGCAGTTGACGGCATTTCGAAGATCATTTGATAGTCTCGTATTCAGTCCGTAGCAAAGGTTGAATGTAAGCGTGTTGTTTGTGATATTTATTTGGTAACGGTATTCTGTTTTTCGTCCAACATTTCTTTACTATCGGCAATCTTTTTAGTCTCTGGCACTAAAAAGTATATAAATATCAGGCACAAAAATGCGAGGGCTGTAAATATCCAGAAGCATACGGCCATATTCCAAACGTGCAATATATATGGAAATGACACCGCCCCGCAAAAAGCAAATAGTTCATTAAGAGTCCAAACGACACTAGCTGCCAGAATTTCAATATTCTCTCCAAACAATTGGCGCATCATGACGAACGGATAAATACCCACGCCCAGTCCAAAAAAGAAAGAGAAGCAACAGAAACTCACAATGGGCAGCCATTGAAGCGAATGCACGTAGCTATCCTTCATCTGAAAATAAATGGATTGCAAAGCACAATTTAGAGCCACCATTATGATCGACCATATCATCAGAGTTCTACGACTGTCAAATTTGTGCACCGAAATTAGGGTAGATATTAAAACAGAGATGCCAATAAATATGATAGAAACTTTAGAGTCCATGAAAATCTGGCTATCGGCCGCGTCTAGCATAAGTGTGGAATACATTATGATAGCGATGCTGCCACATAAGTTCTTGAACGCCACCATGATCGTGCATATAATAATTGCCTTGGCCGAGGCTAAGCGCCGCAATTTCTGACAGCTGAATTTATTATTGTCTCGAAGTCTTTCTATGGCCCCCATTATGTCGTCATACTCTCGAGCCGCATCCATATGCTTGCCCCGTAGCCATTGAAGCGAGCCAATGGCCTTCATCTTCTTGTTCTTAAGCATATAATACACCGGCGACTCCGGCATCCACACGAAGGTGAGCAGGAACACGGCCGGCGTAACGGCGCAGCCGTAATTTAGGTAACGCATATTGTTGAAGGCGCCCAGGATATAGGCATATAGGATTCCCAGATAATAGAATATTAAGGGGAAATTGCCAATATATGACTTCACTTCCACTTGCGAAATTTCCACACAGTACACCGATGCGATTATCAAATAACAGCCGGCGCATAGGCCTTGCAGCAGCCGCGAGAACATGAGCAAATACATATTAAACGGATAAATCGTTAGCACCCATCCTGCTATGTATGGGAGCACCACTAACAGCATTATCAACTTCCGGCCTATACAGTTGGCTAACGCAGCGGCCGGCACCATCGTTAGGGCGCACCCCAAATTGGCCATTGCACAGGCCCATCCATATTCGGTCAGACTCACTGCAAAACCATAATACTTTTTTTCCGTAACCGCGAAAACCGAAGGTGCTGACCAGCCGATTGTGACACCAAAATTAAATACGCTGAGTGAAGCTAAAACTGCCGCTATATATTGATTATGTCCACCAGGTCTGTCCCAGAAACTTGACATATCTTTTAAAATTTTGATTAAAAAATATCAAGCTTATTCCTACTATTTTAGCTATAATACATTAAACATAAACAGAGACACAGATCCAACGGTAATAGCGTTGCCACGGCGGCTACAGATTTTTGTTTTGATTTTGCATTGTGTTGATTGTTTTGCGCATTAGATGTTTGTAAATGAGTCATCCTGAGCTCAATATATAGTCGAGATAAACACTTATTGCAATTTTCACCGACAAATTGAACAAAGTAAACATGTCGCTCGTTAGTGACGATGAGTGGACCCAGTTTAAGGTAATGTTTGCTATGCTAAACAACTCAACAACCAAATTTACGCGTCTGAATATTTTAGACTACCCATAACAAGGTATATGAAGGCGATGAAGACCAAAAGCGTCGTTCCTTATACGAGAAAACTAAAGCAAAAGTCGAGGAGCATAATAAAAAGTATGAGAATGGCGAAGTAACTTGGAAAATGGGCATTAACAATATGTCGGACTTTACTCCGGAGGAATATGCAAATAGGTGTGGATCAAGAGCACCCAAATAATGAATCTCAGATATTCAGCATTTGTATATACAATGTATGTGAACTTTATCGATGCACATTTACAGAATGCAACTAATATAATATTTTATTAATCCTAATTTAATGTGTTTGTTTTTAATCTGGTCACACTGTGAACAGACAACTGTTGCTATATCGCTGTGTAAAAAGATTTTGAAAAACTGCGTATTAAAAAAGATATGTAGAAAATCAAGTTTGAAATTCGAATATGTTTTAAAAACAAAACCTCAAACAGATGGAGAAAACATATGTTACTCCCCAAAAGTATCGATGCCAGCATCAGAGCGATAATTATTTGCACCCCTGGTAAGAGATGTATTTGTCAATTTTCCAAACTCGGGTCACACTGCAGTCGACATATAACTTTTAAAAGTTTGTAAACTTTTTCATTTTGTTCACATTGCCACAAAAACGCATCGGTTGTGCGTTTTTACTCTCTCACATTTTTAAGCCAACACTGTCTGAGGGGCTCGGGCACAAACTAGACTAAAGTGTACCTTCTATTGCAGACACACAGCTGAGCAGCAACACACAGCAAGATGTCCGGAATAATGCGTGCGCCATCGATTTTGGCCAAAACTGCATTCGCCTCAATGGTAGGTATCCATGCAATACGATTATTTTATTGACAAGGATATACATTTGTCAGACAAGTTAACTATTTCGACAGCGACTATTTTAATTTCTCGATGCAGCCTCTACAAGTTCTACCAAAATTTCGGCCCTTGCTGAGCCCGTGGCAGTGTTATGTAATTTGTTAAATTTACGCCTGGCCAACTGATAGCAACAAAGGTTTCCCTAGCATTGCGTAAACCCAACGCACATTACGAATTCGAATTTAACTAGACTGCAATTTTCATTGTTCAATTGAAATCGAGAGTGCAAGTGATGCGCAGAGGTTATGTTGCACGTACTACGCACCGAAAGTCCCCCGTGCGATAAATTTGGCAACAGATGCGACATCATCGGCATTTTTATAGGCGTTGTTAGTGTGCATTTTGTGTGTTATTTAAGTGTTCAGTCATGCAGATAAGCCCCCTACATTCAATGTCCACATGTGAGAGAGGCGCGACCGCTGCCACACAGCTGATTATACAATGCAAATTATTGATATGAGCTATATTTTAAATGCTAACTATTACATAAGCAATACAATGTTTGTGTGTGTGTGCGTTCTTTTAAGCGACGCTTTAACTGATAATCCTCAATACAATGCTTTGTCAACGCTAGTCAATGGGAATCTTCCCATGGCGTGTGCGGCTCTCTTTAATCTGCATTATTGCCCAACACTAACACATTGGCGCTTGGCCATATACACATGTGTGTGTGTGAATGTGCAGTTGTTTTTTGTTTTTTGCAAAAACAGAAGTCATCTTATCTGAGTAGTTCCATTAGCACCTACAGTTCAGATATCGCGATAATTGTGCTCGCAATTTACTAAATTTACCTAATGCAGCAGTGGCAGAATTTTAGGCTCCGTCCCATGTTATTTTATATGTTACTGATATGGGGTGTTAGTGTTACCGGATCTCAAAATTTCCAATTGAGTCTGATTGGAATTACCTAATGGATTTATAAAATCTGCAGGCTACTCAGAATCAGTGCTAGTTTACTCTGTTCTTAAAAGGATATAATTAACGATCAGTCAATATATTGCTATAATATTGCAATTTTTATTTAGCTTTGCATTATTTCCCGCTCATTCAGGCATTATGCGATGTCTAAATCCACACAGCACTGACGTTATATAGCTATGACGTATCAATTATTAAATGTAGTTATTAGATTGCAGTCATTAAATTTACGTCGGCTGTTAAATACGACTGACTGCCTTGAAACAACTGATCGTAAGTTGCATTTCATTCGTATGCTAGACGCTTCGTAAGTGACGTGACTGATTGCAGTTATCTCGTAACGTTCCATTAAATCTAATCAGCATGCAATTTGTCAATTGCAGCAACGTGTGGCAACAGTAGCTGCCGCAGCGACGCAGCAGCGCCGCAGCTACCATGTAACCCCCGGATACCAGAAGGCTAAATCAGCAAATCCCGATGCCATCTCCAAGCAATATCCGATTGTAGATCACGAATACGATGCGATTGTTGTCGGTGCCGGCGGCTCGGGACTGCGTGCTGCCTTTGGCCTGGTCGCTGAGGGCTTCCGCACAGCGGTTATCACTAAACTGTTTCCCACACGCTCGCATACGATTGCTGCACAGGGAGGCATTAATGCGGCTCTTGGCAATATGGAGGAGGATGACTGGAAGTGGCACATGTACGATACGGTGAAGGGCAGTGACTGGCTGGGCGACCAGGATGCCATTCATTATATGACACGCGAGGCACCCAAGGCTGTCATTGAGCTGGAGAACTACGGCATGCCCTTCTCTCGCACCCAGGATGGCAAGATCTATCAACGTGCCTTCGGCGGCCAGAGTCTGAAGTTCGGCAAGGGCGGTCAGGCCCACAGATGTTGCGCCGTCGCGGATCGTACCGGCCACTCGCTGCTGCACACCCTGTATGGTCAGTCGTTGAGCTACGATTGCAACTACTTTGTGGAGTACTTTGCTCTGGATCTGATTTTCGAGAATGACGAGTGCCGTGGCGTGCTGGCCCTTAATTTGGAGGATGGTAGTCTGCATCGCTTCCGTGCGAAGAATACGGTCATCGCCACAGGTGGCTATGGACGCGCCTTCTTCTCCTGCACCTCGGCACATACATGCACTGGCGATGGCACCGCATTGGTGGCCCGTCAGGGTCTGCCCTCAGAGGATCTGGAGTTTGTGCAGTTCCATCCGACTGGAATCTATGGCGCCGGCTGTCTTATTACTGAGGGCTGCCGCGGTGAGGGTGGCTATCTGATCAATTCCAAGGGTGAACGTTTCATGGAGCGCTATGCGCCTGTCGCCAAGGATTTAGCTTCTCGCGATGTTGTCTCCCGCTCCATTACTATTGAGGTTATGGAGGGCCGCGGTGTGGGACCCGAAAAAGATCACGTATTCCTGCAGCTGCATCATTTGCCGCCCAAACAGCTGGCTGAACGTCTGCCCGGCATTTCAGAGACTGCTATGATTTTCGCCGGCGTCGATGTCACCCGCGAGCCCATCCCCGTGCTGCCCACCGTGCACTACAACATGGGTGGCATCCCAACGAATTATCGTGGCCAGGTGCTGACCATTGACGAGAACGGCAAGGACAAGATTGTGCGCGGCCTCTATGCGGCCGGCGAGGCAGCCTGCAGCTCGGTGCATGGCGCCAATCGATTGGGTGCCAACTCCCTGCTGGATTTGGTGGTGTTTGGCCGTGCCTGCGCTAAGACCATTGCCGAGGAAAACAAACCCGGCGAGAAAGCACCCGAGCTGAAGGACGTAAGTCAACTCTATATAAATAAGCTTCTATTAGAATTTTGTATTTATTCGCTAAATCATTTGCAGAATGCTGGCGAGTTCTCTGTGGCCAATTTGGATAAGCTGCGTCATGCAAATGGCAGTATAACCACCGCAGATCTGCGTCTCAAGATGCAGCGCTGCATGCAGAACCATGCTGCTGTATTCCGTGATGGGCCCATCTTGCAGAAGGGCGTTAGCGAAATGAAGGAGATCTACAAACAGTTCAAGGACATCAAAGTTATTGACAAGTACGTAACTCCAAAATTTACCGATGGTTGCCTATTCGATATTGAATTTTCACGTGTCTAGGTCGCTTGTGTGGAACTCGGATCTAATTGAGACACTGGAGCTGCAGAATCTTCTGGCCAATGCTCAGATGACCATCGTCGGAGCTGAAGCGCGCAAGGAATCACGCGGCGCACACGCACGCGAAGATTTCAAGGATCGCATCGATGAATACGTAATGAAAACATAAATATTATGCTTTCATTTGACTGCCCATTAATGCGTCCTATTGTTTGTCTTTCACAGGACTATAGCAAGCCCTTGGAATCGCAGCAGAAGAAGCCCATCGACCAGCATTGGCGTAAGCACACGCTCGCCTGGGTGTGTAGCGATGATGGCGATGTGGAACTCAAATACAGACCAGTTATTGACCAGACTCTGGACAATGAGGTAGAGACGGTGCCACCAGCAATTCGCTCTTACTAGAAGACGCCACGAAACCTACAAGCATACACACACACACACACACACATACACTCGAACAGAAAATAAACACACACACTCGCATGTTTACTTAATAGTTAACAGGCAAATTGTGGAAAAGATTAGCAAGTCGCAATTTTGTTAAAAACTAAATTATACCAGGTCTACGACCGATTGGTTTTTGATGTCAAAATTCTATTATGTAGTTAATTTCAATTATTGTATATTTCGAAAAGCCTCTCAGCGTCCTACACAACACCACAAATAATTTATCTCCCAACATTAAATATATATGTAAACATATATTTTCGATAACTGAGCGACTGTTGTGCAAAATTTAGTCAATGACGTCGACGCCTTTTTCTGTAAACAAAAACGACAGGAATAACAATTTTCTAGTATTTGTTAATCTTATTAAATTATTAAAAACAAAGATGTAAAAATATAGATAAACAAAAAACAAAGTACTGAATTCTACAAAAATTAGATTTACAACACATTAATAATAATCAGGCTAGTAACCCTTATCAACTGCGGCATACATTAATACTATGGATAATATATTGGAAAGTTTATAAAACTGATATACAAAGACTTTACTATATCTTAAGCAAGTTACTAATAATTGTGACTAGCCTGATTATTATATAAACAAGAAATTTATGAGCATGAGTATTTAAACCAATTTTGTCACTGAAAAACATGCATCTGATCCGGCTTCAATTGTAGTTCCCTCAAGCTGTTCACCGCGGCTGTATTAAACCCCGTGGGTCCACATACAGCCACAAAGCTGAAGGACTCGGCTTGCTGTTTGTTGAAAAGAGGCGCCAGCAGTTCTTGGGAAATGCGACCACCCGCCTCTGACAAAATGTTTTTGCAAGTGAAGCGTTCATCGGCTTCCTGTAGAGCTTGAAACTTATCCTTCAGCCAGATATCGGCTTGAGTTTTGTTAAAGTACATTAGCTGAAGACGTTCTCTGTGGGAAACCCTTTGATCAACAAAAGCATAAGAAGGTAAACATAAAACACTTACATGCGATTCGTCTGACGCTTGAGCAAAGGCCGCAGCAGACTAAGGATAGGCGTAATACCGCTGCCCGCAGCCAAGAGCAAAATATTGCGATGTGCCTCTAATGCGGATAGCCCGAAATTTCCGCGCGGCAGACTCAATTGCACTGTGGCACCTGGTTGCAGTTGCTTTAGCTCACTGGAAACTGCTCCCTTTTCATAGTGCTTGATGAGAAATTCCTGTCGAATGCTAGGACTCGCATTGGCGTCGATTTGTTCGCTGTTAGAAAGCAGACAGTTGTGTGGCACAGGTGTATAGCTTCGCTCTAGCAACTCACCATTGAGTGGGAGCTGGATGTCAAGGTGATAGCCCACTGGCAGATGCACAAGCACCGACTGCTCAATGCTCTGCAGGCACAACTCAAAAGAGTCATGGTTAAATACCTCGCAATTTAGCACCTCGTATGTCAAGCGCTCATCGCAAGTTGAATTCAGTTTACTTATCTCCTGGCTGCCATATGTCTGCCATGGCTCAGCCACCTGCTTGGTGAGCACCACTTCGATTTTTCCCGTCTCTGGACCCACACGCACAGCTTTTGGCGGCCAAACAACGGCGGCGCTAAGCTTAAAACTGAAGACATGCCATATGCTCCCCAATTGCACGCGTACCTCCAGCCCGACATCAGACGCGTCCTTGCGCTTTAGCAGCAATCCTGGATTAGCCATGCGTCGCGTATAAAAACAGAGGGTCAATTCGCTGCGCTGTTGAATCCAATCGAAACGCGGCACAAGCTCCGTTGGGGCCGGCGGTGGACGGATTATATCTGTTTCTACGTTGGCCGCAACGTTATCCTTTAACGGACCCACATAGCATTTGCCTAGCAACTGAGGGTAGTTAACCCAGGCATGCACTTCATCAAACAGCTTGGTAGCATCACGTCCAACACCGCGCATTAGTTCATCTATACCGCCTGGATGGAAGTCCATGTACCGAGTCACATTGAATACTTTGCCTCGTATGGCCATCCAGGCATCGTTCACCTGATTGTGGAGCGCCAGTTCACTGCGACTAACTGGTACAACGCGTCCTCCAGTGCCCGAGAGATCAGCACCTGAATTGCATAAACGTATCCAGCTCATCAAGGAGTAGCCAGGCTTCAGGGCGCATTTGTTACGCGGATTGCCTGTTGCAGAGCCCGAGCTCTTCAGTTGCTGCGCCGCTGAGCTGGGCAGCTGTAAACTATTGACAGCTAAGGCAGTCACAGCTGGTGGCTTGAGAGGAGTTTTATCCATTGATGCTGGCAGTTTCAACTGCGAATCGCTCATGGTGCAGTCAAATTGTGATTATTATTGGCTCAACAGTTGAAATCGATATAAGCGGTTACTCATAAGGATCAGCTGATTGCCATCGATAACATAAACAGCTCCAAACAGCTGCAGAGGTCGATATATATCGAAAGCTTTAAGTAGTCAATAGGAAAGTAAATATACTTTAAATAATCAGGCATTTAAAAGCTGTGCAAGTACAAGAGCATAAATTATGTGATTTAAAAAATGTTAATAAATAATAATAATTCACTCATTATGATTATCACAAAGTCCCACATATGTGAGCTGCATACTGTGCTACGCTTGTGCTATTCCCCAACAAATCAGCTTCGTTTTGTCAGTTTTCAACGAGTCGGTCAGCTGTTCGGATCACTGTAATCGTGGGTAAAGTTCCTGTCGCCTCATATAGACTTATTTTGTGTATGCATTTCCAAAGACCATTATACAAATATCGTTTCGATTTTGTACATGAAACACAAAGGGCAAAAAAACAAAAAAAACAAATACAAAACGAATTATCCGTCATTATTGAGTGTAATTCCACACGCATAGAATAAAAATTCCCATTAATTCTAAGTGTGTGTGGGTGTGTGTGTTTTTCAATGGAATAAAGCTATAAATTGGCGCATTATTTGATGCCTCATTGGCAAACTGGTTTAATTTCAAATAAGTGATATACAGTGGAAAATTTAAATTGTACTTATTTATGCATTGCATAAATACAACAACAATTACTTGTATATATAACGGTGTTCGCTTGTATGTATTGAGCAATCAGAGCGACAATTTGCTGAAGTTAACATCAACAAACGGGTTCTGCTTTGTGTGCTATATTAAATTTTCGTATACATCAGTGCTTTATCCTTTTATTTCATTATTATTATTATCATTATATTATTTGTATTATCATTTCTTGAATGATGTCATTGTCCAGCAAACGTTTGCCGGTCTTTCCGTTTGCTTTGCCACCTTTCGCCACCCTCTTCCACAAATACGCACACGCTCACGCACAGGTACATGCACATCCATACAACATATACAACCACACCCGCAATCCGAAAAGTTACTCTATTCATTTCATTATTGAATTCGCCGCGCGCCCGCTGCTCTATAGGTTTGACACTTAATTACTTGCACACGCAACCAAATTCGCTCTTCCGCTGACTGCCAGTCACTGCTAGTTCTCTCTGTCCCCATCTCTTAGCTAGCGGTTGTTCTCACGCAACAAGTGTTAATAGCATTTTAAACTGGCCTGTCACATACAAATGTATTAGAATCTAGCTCACGAATAGGTTTGATGATTTTAACTGCAATCTTATCGGGCATAAAACCCTGTGTTTTTCTTTTATTATACATTATCTTTGCTTGATAATATATCAACTCTGCGCAAACCAATTGGTAAATTTAGTATTAATAATTAGCCGTTGATTCATATGCATGTACTACAAATTTGTTGTCATGTGTAAATTGAAGCGTGTCCATTTTTAAAGCCGCGCAATTCAATTAAACTTATTGAGAAAGCGAACGGTGCTCGAACAAATTGCGATATGCTGCCTTAAACAAATAGCTGATAAGAAATTGTAACAATAACAACATCAATATTGAGAGCTTGTTCCCAGCTTCGACCGTGACAGACAATTACACAATGTCGCCGCAATGAGTGCGATAAGAATGAGGAGAAAAGAGGAGCGGCGTCCTTCAACTTGACGAAATTCTGACTGAACGACATAGAAAGAGAACGAAAAAGAAGGAGAGTGAAAGATTGGGCAGGAATTATTGCAGTATATGCGACGTGCTTATACACTGCTCAAAGGAGAATATTTAAAACAAAAGTATAATAAATGAAATATTAAATATTAAAAAAAAATTTAAAATCTATTGGTCATAAATGTGAACTTTCGGTTACAAGTTTATTTTGTTTTGATTGCTTTTTAGACGTAAGCTCTGGCTGAATCCTATTACATTTTGCATGCTATGCTTAAATAGCTCGCGCGTCGTAGCACTTGGGACGCTAGTGCTATGACTAATATCAGAGTTATCAAACTTACATTTGCAGCTACGGCTTCTGCAATGAGTCACACTTGGATGTTTCTCAACTATATTTCCCTTTGCCCCTGTGCTTCGATAATGACTTGATCAGCTTTCTATATGAGTGTTCTTTGTGCAGTTCCAGACGTTGACTTTTTTCCCATATAATCGTTGTTATTGTAAGAGGCATTAAAGTCCAAAGTTGATCCTCTTGGCTAATTCGACAGCGTGCATTGAAAAGCGATAAGATAATGGGGCAGTAGCAGATACTGAATGACTCTACATATGGCAACAATGCTAAGCTGCCAAGATTTAGTCGTTTGATGAACTTTTTGTTTATCAGCCAAAGCCACATACTGAATTATTTTTCCATCAACAGAGATTAGAAATTGTTCATTTATGCTATAAATAAACTTTGTAAATCTGATTCTACTGCAATAAGAATCTCTATGTGTGTTTATTCAAATTTTCGAAATCTTATTCGACCACAGTTTAATAATATGTATACTACATACGTACGCTCCATTTCTATATTTGCGCTTCATAAATTATTTCAAGAGTCATTGGAATGGAAAAGTTTGCATTCTTTTATAATAAAACAAACCGAATTTTAAATTAAAAACAAGCTATATAGGGGGTCTGTGTTCATGTACGTGTATAGAATACAGAACGAAATATTTGCCAATATATATATCTATTTATTTAAAGTATTGTCTTGGTTTGTAGCATCAAGTTGCAAGTGCTTAAAGAGTATGGAAAAGAATAATTTTTGACGTAATATATAGAATCAAGTACATAGTTTACCGTCTAAGCTAAATAGCTTAAAGCAGATAATTGGTTTATTCTATATTATGTGATTAATAAAATAGGATAGATGTTATTTACATAATATTATATACAGGGTATGCGACAGTCGATGTCCTCTATAACAAACTTACTGTTGTTTAGGTTGGGCTAATTGGCAATTGTTTGTTAGTTCTCTTATGTATATCCGTTAGCCGACGACGCAGTTGGTATTTGCTCATATAGTGTTCCCGATCCGTAGGGCAGATAAGAGTTTTGTGAGGCCCAGACATCATAAAGTTGATAATGGATATGACTCAGTCGAAGTTGCAGCAGCGATCAAGGGGGCACGTGGCGAATTTAAGTGACTGGTTCGATAGCTAAATATAATTCAGCTGTGAACTTAACTGTGGAAGTTCATTGTCCAAATATATACAATATATATATGTTTATATATGTATGCATAATTCATCAATATACGGCAAGAATGTTTATTTAAATAATTTGATTAAACAACATTTATAAATACAACTAAAAACTCCGCATTTGAGTGCTACTGACTGCATAATACACATTCATGGTCAAAGGATAAAAGAAACAGGTTGCGAAACATTGCAAGATATATTATAATAGTAGTTTATTTTATAGTAGTATAATAGTTAATAATAGTAGTTTTGCCAAATCTTTGGAAGGACTCTAGAGTAACGTAATTGTAAATAAAAACTGCGAAAATATATATCCACATCAGCAAGGCGGATATTACAGACGATCAATATACTCATTTCATTTTAAGAATGAATAAAAAATATATATATTTATATGCAATAATAATATATAGGCATTACTGGACAATCAAATCTCTTACTACTTACTTATCAGTTTTACATATTTATCACTTATAAATAATAATATAAATACGCCGCGTTGTTCAGAAAAGGTTTCATTGAACGAGTTAATAATTAGCTTCTGAACTCTTCGCCGTGCCCACTGTGCACGATTTGTTGTTGCTCATCTAACTGAATTAGTGAACAATATTCCTGAAACAGCTTTTTTTACCTTATTCAATCCTTTTGGCTTGCAAAGCAATGTTAATGTATATTGCAGAGCTGTTATTAACATGATATGTAGGCATTCTGTTAATCCCATACTTCCCATAACAGCCCAGCCTGGACCATTTCTATTGCGTAGATAAACCAAAAATACATTAACAAAATCGGTTTATGGAAATGTTTACACTAGATTGTACAATAGCTCTTATTGTCTGTTTCTTATCTACACTTTAAATTATCCGCATAAACATATATACATATATTTTCTTTTTCACAGAGAATTAACACATGGGCCTGGTCAAGAACTGGAACTCAAACACAATTAAAAAAACAAATTGCCAATAATATATATATATATTTATATATAGATATTTATAGCTGTAGTTAGACATTCCGTATTAGCCGCCATGTCGGAGAAGCAATTGGAACAGAATAGCGTGCCTCTGAGCCGCGTGATTGGCGCCTACATATTTGGGCTCTTGCAGACCTTCTTTCGTTTTATCTTCCGCTTAATATATGGCGCCAAAGGTAAAAGCATGCCACCCATAACGGATCCCATACTCCTCGAATCGGCCACATCGCTGGCCAGAAAAATACGTAACCAAGAGGTATAGGCAACTAATCTTCCAGATGTCAAAGTCTAGAAATTAATTTATTCATCTTACTCTTTATAGCTAAGCAGTGTTCAGGTTCTGGAATCGTTTATACGCCGCATCAAGGAAGTGAATCCGTTGCTCAATTGTGTCGTGGATGAGCGCTACGATGAGGCACTCAAAGAGGCAGCCGCGGCGGATGCCCTAATCAAGTCCGGGCAATATACAAAAGAAGAGTTGGCCACGCTGAAACCGTTCTTGGGCGTGCCTATCTCAACAAAGGATTGCATAGCGGTCAAAGGTGTGTAGTAGACTACAAACTATTTTGTTAGGCAACATATGTATAAATGACAATTTCTAATACTTGTAGTTAAAATTCGAATTCAATCTAGCAGAGTTTCGTTACTTCAGCTTAGCAAGAAAACAAGTTTTAAAATATTTGACTGCCTCTTTTAGCAATACTCTAACAACTGTTCTTATTTTCATTTACGAACTCCTAATCTATCTAAATTTTAAATAGTTTGTATTAAGTTAGCAGAGAACCTGTACTTTTAGCATTTTTTATGGCAGAAATATGTCAGTAGGCCCTATCGGTATTTTATGGAGCAAAGCTAAAGATAACCAACATAATTCTCTAGGGACCTGAATATCAATAGGGTAATAAGCTAGGAAGAACATAATATATATTTATCATACATAAGCTAATACCCACCGATTTGTCTTCACAGGCATGCTCCATACAGCTGGATTGTATTCGCGCCGTGAGGTGCGCGCGGCAGACGACTCGGATGCAATGGGATTGATGCGGAAGGCGGGCGCCATACCCTTTGCGCTCACCAATGTCTCCGAGATGTGCATGTGGTGGGAGAGCAACAATACGGTGCACGGCAGGACAAACAATGCCTACGACACGAATCGCATTGTGGGCGGCTCCAGCGGCGGCGAGGGCTGTGTCCAATCGGCTGCAGGTTCACCGTTTGGCTTGGGCTCGGACATTGGTGGATCCATTCGAATGCCCGCGTTTTTCAATGGCATCTTTGGGCATAAGCCCAGCAAATTCATCGTTTCGAATAAGGGCCAGTTTCCAAGTCCGTTCAGTGAGGAGCAGAACTCATTTTTGGGTCTGGGTCCCATGTCACGATTTGCCGAGGATCTGCGACCCATGCTGCAGATTATGGCTGGGGAGCGGGCGGACCTGTTGCGGCTAGACAAGCCAGTGGAGCTGGATAAAATAAAGTTCTTCTATCAGGAATCAGATGGCGGTGGTCGCATGGTCTCCGCCGTCGATAAGGATCTGCTCCTGGCCATGCGCCGAGTGGCCGACCATTTGAGCAAGAAATTCGGCGCTGGTCAGGTGAAGCAGGTTCAGCTGCCGCAGATACGTCAATCAGCGGCCATTTGGTTTGCCAACATGCGTGATGACTCCGGTCACGGCTTCAGCTACCAGCTGGGCGATCTGCGCTACGATATCAACACCTATCTGGAGCTGCTCAAGTGGCTGGTGGGCGCCTCGAAGCATACATTGATTGGCCTGATCACGGCCGTAATGGACAACGCCCAGTGCCAGCATGGCTCCTCCAAGTACAAGCACATGGTGGCCAAGCGGGATAACCTGCGTGCCACTCTACAGCAGCTGCTGGGCGACAATGGCGTGCTCATCTATCCCACGCATCCCACTGTGGCGCCCTACCACAACGAGCCCATAACGCGTCCCATCAACTTCTCCTACACGGGCATAGTCAATGTGCTGGGCTTCCCGGCCACAGCTGTGCCGCTTGGCCTAGGCAGCGAGGGCTTGCCGCTGGGCGTGCAGGTCATAGCGAACTTTAATGAGGACCGATTGTGCCTGGCCGTGGCCGAGGAGCTGGAGCGTGCCTTCGGCGGCTGGGTGCGCCCCGAGGTGCGACTCTGAAGCGGACTCTTTTATTACAAATAACATAAGTATACACAGCCGAGCATTTAGCTTTTAGTATTTGGGAATTGTATCCTGGGCCCCGCAAAGAACCCACCAAACACAATCTAACAACGGCTTAGTATATACTATATACAAACGATCTATCAGCATGTCCTCTTTATATCAACATATATGAGATGTGTGTAGAATGTGAATTGTAAAATGTGCACATTAAGTGCATTTAGTGCCTCGTAAAATCAATGTTTCGATGTATTTTTATTGCTATTATAATTACTTTGTATACAATATGTTTTTAACCATAAACTTAGCATTAATCTAAGCTCACATTTGATTTCGCATTTAAAATAAAGAAAAATTGTTAACAAACTTTTGAGGTTTCACTGTTGGCAGCGCATTATTCTAGCCACCTCTCGAAAATTCGGAATTGCTGTTATTCCGTGGCCACGTGGCAGATACATAATTTTTCCAGCATTTTCTACACAATAGCGTATTACTCCTAAAATTCCGAAATAACAGCACACTTCTGTTAGAGTATGCCACGTGGCAGCTAATTCGCAGCGAAGTTACAAAGGAAACATGTTAAATAACATGAGAATTACAGACACTTAACAGCAGAACATAAACGACGCAAGCTGAAAAAAAAATGTATGCTTGAAAGCTAAAAATTATCAAAGATCTTATAGAATGCTGCCAAAATACAGGCCGCCTTGACGCTTGAACACAATACAACAAACAAATATCCATATAGACTAAATTACAAAATTGTTGAACCTTTTCGTACACTTTCTAGGCAACACGCACGTCCCCGAGCAAGCCCCGACTGTGCGCCGACTTAACGACTGCACTCATCAGGATCATAATCAGATCAGCTCCCACAACATGAGCAAGACAGACCCCATATCGCTCAGCTTCCACGACTCCTGTCTGCGCATGTCCGACGTGCAACTGCTGCACGGACCGCGCTGGCTCAACGATCAGGCAAATAAATCAATGGACTAACTAAATAGTTCTGTATACATTGAAATATATACTTTCTTGCAGATCTTGAGCTTCTACTATGAGTATCTGTCGCATGTCAAGTACAAGGACAACAACGACTTGTACTTTATAGCGCCCGAGGTGACGCAGTGCATGAAATACATGGACGACTCCGAGCTGGAGATGCTGCTGGACAAGAACAATGCCGCCTACAAGCTGTTCATATTCTTTGCTCTGAACGACAACGGCGCCACCGAAGAGGGCGGCAGTCACTGGTCGCTGCTGGTGATGTCGCAGCCCGAGAAGACTTTCTTCCACTTTGACTCGTTTGGGAACAGTAATACGGCCACATCCGTCAAGCTGATGAATAGGGTGAAGGACTTCCTGGGCATGCGTCTGGCCAAGTTCTGTCCGATGCGCTGTCTGCAGCAGGCGAATGGCTACGACTGTGGCATCCACGTCATCTGCATGACCGACCACATAGCCGACTATGTGAGTCGCTTTGAGATGATCAACGGGCTGCCCGGACTGCATATCGAGACTGTGAAGGCCAAGCGAGCTGAGCTGCTTAAGCTGATCCTCTCACTGGGCGGCAGTTGTTAATCCCGCCAATCCTCCGTTATATATATATATGTATGTATTTGCGATGTAACACGAACTACCAACACCAAAGGCAGATAAGTGTGTGTTATGTGATCGAAATGTTTACACTTAACGATATTGATATGGGTTAGATATAATTGTTTTCAGTATTGTATTCCCCCATCTGGCTGTGCATCATAATAAAGACATTGATGTTGACTTGAATTTATCTGATTAAGCAGAATATATCATTAAAATTATCTGATTAAGCTGAATGAGTTATTATAATTAAGCTAAACCGTATTATAAGAATATTTTAAATACTATTTTACGACTTGTAGACAAATTATTTTATATAGGTATTTTACACACAATAATTATTTTATAAAGTATATTTCTTATTGTGCAACAAATGAAACTGCAGCAACAAAATGGAAAATGTAATAATAGAGATCTGCATTTGGAACCAGCTGCGACGATTCACCTTATAGAGACCGCAAACCCAAAAGTCCAGCTTCGAAGTGCAGACGTACAAGACAAAGGCGTTCAGCTGCAAGAGAAATATATAATTTCTATGTACCTGTATATTCATATATACTAGATATGCACCTCCCTTGACCAATGCCCCTCGCTGAGACTATGCCGTATCACGCTCTGGTACCACATGGTCTGATCACATATGAAGTTCAATAGATAAAAGTCCAGCAGATGCACATAGTAGTTCGAGGCCCCGAAGAGGGTTACATAGAAAGGTGCCTTAACGCTAAATGAGAAGACTATGCCCCAATAGGTATTAATCGCAAAGAATGCCAAATTGTCAAAGCGCGCCGCCAACATAAGCAACCCATAGATCTTGTTGAGCCTCTGAGTGCAGCACGTGAGCAGGCTGTGGAGCATCCACAGATGCTGCAGCTGCTCCAGCTGGCGACGCGACGGAGTATCTTGGATCCCTCTATCCAGATGCAGAAGCTGTGCCAGCTGCTTATTGAGATACTTATAGCAACAGGCGATGTCCCACAGAGCCAGATAATAGCGATAGACGGCGAGCAGGGGAATATTCTTGGCGTTGCTGTATAGGAAGACGCACAGCAAAACGCTCAGCTTTGGCTTGTTAGGTATCGTCAGACAGGCTAGCAAGCTGGCCACGCAGACGAACAGCACAGAGCCCAGCTTCAAACTATGCAAATGGCCAAGTCTGCTGCCGACAGATTGCCCAATTCGCACATCCTGTGCAATCCTGCGGTTCAATCGCTGCACGATCCTGTCCACCTCCAGCAGCGCCTTATCCCGGCAGGAGCGCGAGATCAGAGTGTATGCTATAGTCGCATAGGACACCGTGTAGAGTATATATGTGGTATAGGTCAACAAATTTGGAAACCAGCTGGCTATCCTGACGTACTGGGCGGACAGCCAGAAGACCAAGGGCAGCAGACTTAGCGTCAGGGCATTCACGACCAGGACATAGCCGCGCGTCAGCCACGTCTCGCGATAATTCTTCGATACGCGAAAGTACGAGCTAACGCCTAGAAATACCGAATAGCTCTGACAGATACGCAAAAGAAACTCGCTGACCATGCCTAACGGAGAATAATACGTAACTAAATATTGTGTTGTATGTTAAGCCGAGGGCCTCATTTCCAAATGCTGATTGTATCTCGGCTACCGCATCGTCAGATAAAAACCAATTACTATTTAGGGAGTATAAAGTATTTGTAATGCTCTTTACACAATGAATCGATTGCTATAATAGTTTAGAAGGTCAGACGCACCTGCCCATAGGGTGTATACATAAATTATCATAGTTTCGATTTACGTTTCCGTCCTACTACTATTAATTTTATTTTATATTTTTAGACAAACGAAACTCAATAAACACTTAAATACTGCATCCATATTCATTTTACACATATCTTAAATGCCGTTGGACAAACAAACAGAAATATCATGCTGTCCTTCCAGTGATAATAATAAACATGAGAGCTTCCGGCTTGAATAAACAAATATTTATTCCGTCCAGCCAACTAAAAACTACATGAGTCGCACTTCTTTCAAATGGGCTCCGGTTGGATTTTGTCTCTTCAATTCGTTTTTGGTGTTGTTTCTGTTTTTGCAGTGCCTTGCACTGGGTAAAAGTAAACATTAAATTAAACAAATTACAATTATTAATACAAATATCGCATTCATGCTGAAGATCAGCTTGCGTTCAACGCCTGAAGCAAGCACCCCATAGATTACCACACCTCCAATTCCTCTCTCCAGCTGTCTTAAAAATGTAAGCGTATACTTTGAGTCGTATTCACAGTGCGTTTTACAGTTAGTAACGTTTTTTATGAAAGGTCACTTAAGGCTACAAGATGTAACATAGAAAGCAGTTAACCGTGTTTAGTCCTTGCCGCCCAGCGATATGATGAGCTTCAGCAGTTCAGCTCGTTTGGCCTTCACTGTGTCGATGTGCAATGTGGGTAGACCCTCAACCACCTCATAGCGATTCACATAGTCGGCTATGTGATCAGTCATGCAGATGACATGGATGCCACAGTCGTAGCCATTCGCCTGCTGTAGGCAGCGCATCGGACGAAACTTTGCCTGACGGACGCCGAGCAGATCCTTCACCTTAGTCATCAGCTCCATCGAAGGCCCGGTATTGTTGTTGCCATACGAGTCAAAGTGGAAAAACGTTTTCTCTGGTCGGGAGAGCACCATCAGCGACCAATGGGTGCCGCCTGCCTCGGTGTTTCCATTGTCATTCAATGCAAAGAATATGAATGGCTTGTTAGCGGCATCATGCTCCTCGAACAGCATCTCCAGCTCGGAGTCGTCCATGTATTTCATGCACTGCGTCACCTCGGGCGCTATAAAGTACAAGTCGTTGTTGTTCTTGTACTTGACATGCGACAGATACTCGTAGTAGAAGCTCAAGATCTGCAAGAAAGTATATATTTCAATGTACACAGAACTATTTAGTTAGTCCATTGATCTATTTGCCTGATCGTTGAGCCAGCGCGGTCCGTGCAGCAGTTGCACGTCGGACATGCGCAGACAGGAGTCGTGGAAGCTGAGCGATATGGGGTCTGCCTTGCTCATCTTGTGATTGCCGCTGCTGTTGTTATTTTTGGTATTGTTGTTGTTGCCGCTGTTGTGATGGTTGTTGAGTCGTCCAGCGTTGAGTCTTTGGATAGGGCGGCGCGCAGTCTGACTTTGATTCTGACGTGCGTGTTGCCTGCAAAAGATTTTGCAAAATGGAGAATGTAGAAATCATGAAATGTCTTGCAACCAGTGCCCGTATTGTTGCCGCACCTCAATATCTTTCTCTCGTTTGGCAACATTTTACACAAAATTTATACGTTCGGGGGATTTTCTTTTCTCACTCCTTTTCTTTTTTGTAATAATCACAACTGAAGCAAACTTCAGCGAGCTACGAACTCCGAATGCTACCATTCAAAGCCAACGTTGTTATGTTAAGGCTATGTTACGCGAATGTTAGCAATCAGTTTCCGTTTTCGCCGGCCGGCCGACCAAGTTGCCACAGTTACCGCAATTCCAAATTACATGTACATATATACATATGTATGTATGTACACTTACAATGGAGCAATAGGTACTCTGCATAGCCAAAATATCTCGCGAGACATTTATAATTTCAAGTGTAACAAATCATTGCTCAAAAACGTTACTGAGATGTATCTTGTTAGAAAAACTATAACGAATTTATTTATATTCATATGAATACAAACAGCGTTTGATAGTGAATTAGAGGCAATCGTTAATTTTTGTACTTTGATTGTATATTAAGATTGGTTATAATAATAGACACACAACAAAAACAAAACACACCAATCTTGCGGCATTATTCGGCAGAAAGAGCATAGCACAACAAAAGAAAACAACAAAAAAGTGAGCGAACTGGTCTCATATAAGAATTGGCATGCAAAGCAAAACTTACCAAAAAATATGGCAGACTCTAGTTGAAATTTTTGTAGATAGCTTGGAGGCTTGTTGGGCGCAGTAAATTTCAAAGGGTTTATCATTGAAGTCTTTGCAAGTTAATAAATAGTTATATGCGACCAATGCAAACACTATTTCAATCAATAGGAATTAAACACTTTTGCGTCTTGTGTACTTCACTCTAGTTGGAAAATTGCGAGCAGCCAACTTAACGCGAATTGAAATCTGCGCGCAGCCAACTTCAAGTAAGCTAAAAATTGCATAAGGGCCAACTTCAAGTGTGGGGAAAATATAGCTTGGCGGCAGAATTCAAAAGCAACTATGAAAATCAAATCTTACGTATATGTATATACAAAACCAAATTTGAAACAAACATTGTCATTTTGACTCCCGAAATGTTCTAACTGGTTCTTAATAAATTTAAAATACCAATATATTCATCATGTCTGAAAAGGAAGGATGTCGCACCAGAAGAGTTTCGTTTGTTAATTCAAATGATTTCGATTTAACCGATTGCTGTCGCATCTGTAAATGTCGGGCAACTGCTGAAAATGGTATTAAATTGCGTCCACTATTCAATGGCCGTCGACTAACACGTATTATTGCCAATACAGTTCATATCGAGGTATTTTCTCAATATAGCTACAAACCTTGGTATAATATGGTGATATAACTAAATCCCTTCCCAGATCAAAGATATTCAGGGTCTGCCGCGTTTTTTGTGTGAGAAGTGTTTGAACATTTTAAAAACGTTTTCAATTTTTCAAGTGGATTTCCGACGCTCTGAAGAGGATTTCAAAATGACAATCGAGGCACGTCGCACTTCTCAAATGGATGCTTTGATGGAATTCTCATCAGCCATCGAAATGGAAAAGCAGCGAGAAAACGATCAGAAGAGCGCGGCTCTTGTTACAAATTTTCTAAAGAAGACTAAAAAGAACAAATCTAAGCCGAAACTCCAAAATTAAGAATTGAGCAACTGACGCGCATTCTTTATTATCTATTTATTGTTTTTTATCATTTTAAAAATTTGTTTAATTTTACACTATTTACAATATTTTTCAATAAATTCAGCAACTGGGTTTGAAATTTTCCGGACACATATTTTTCACTTCAAAAATGGCCTCAATTGGTAGGTCCCGGTCTGGGCATTCTTCTTTTATACGACAATCGGAGCTTTCAGAGAACAACATGACTCCATCGACAGACGTCCAGTTGCCCTTATGGATCAATTTATTTACCCATTTCAGTTGTTTGTTGATCTGCGATAAACGTAGAGGAAAATGTAAAAAATTTCAACTAAATTAAATAAAATATTTACCAATTTTGTCAAGTGCTTTTGTTTCTTTATACTAAAAAGATCAGCGGCAAATATAAAAATGTTTTTGGGCTTCTGTTTAACGGCTTGCATTATAATTACGCGAATTATAGCACGTATCTGAAATCTTATAAATAAATGATTTAATAAATTGTATATTGCCATAAATACCTCTGGATGTCTTCCTAAATATGTCCAATCTCCTTTGCGCAAATTTCTACTTATATTTTTTATGGTATTATCAATGTATATCATATCTTCGTCATAGCTGTTTTCTTCGGATTCTACCGGTTGGTCCGACTCTGATTCGTTATACAGTTCCGATGCAAACAAAAATTCCATTGTAATTTTTTTTAGCAGACAATTTGATAAGCAGCCAAAGTATGTTATGCGTAATAAAATATTTTCCTTTGCCTGAAAAAAGCAGCCTACTTCATAAAAAACAAATTAACTACATATATGATTACTTTTTTAATTTGAAAAAAAAAAAAAAAAAACCCAACTCCGTGACAATGCGTATTGCAGCATTGCCGTGACCAGGATTCGAACCTGGGTTACCACGGCCACAACGTGGGGTCCTAACCACTAGACGATCACGGCTACGCTGGGTTGCTGAATGCGTCTGACTAAAACGCACTTTTGAGAGACATGCGCATAAAGCGAAAACACATTAACGAAAGACACATGTTTGCCAAGTAAAAGAAAAATATAGCCGACTGGGATTACTTAAAGTTTAATTCATTTTTTTTTTTTTATTTCATTTTTATATTATTATAATTTACGTTAACGGTGCTAGTGCTACAAGTTTTTTTCTTATTATTATTTACACTTAATTCATGTTTGCTCTAGCTGTTCAGACTTGTTTTTGTTTGTTACGATTGGTTTTGTTGCATTTGGTGCATTCAAGCGCTCCCTGCGAAGCTTGAGTCGCTCCTGGAACTGAAACTTTAGCATTTCGAGAGGTGTGCTTAGTGAAAAATGCATGTCAGGCAACTAGCAAACAGATTAATACATGAATTATTGTTGAATATATATGTACAAATTATTTATATTGCTTACGTTATAGCTAGTCAATAGGAAATTGCAACGCACGCGTTCGTTGGCAATTCGCTGCATAACCGTTTCCATCTCGTCTGTGTTTAACATATTCGCGATGAGAGTACTCACTCTTTCGTTCTCCTTCACCCGTTGCTCTTGGGCTGCTGGAGTTTCATCATCGACCGGTATTGTTTCGAATTGTATTTCATTTTCAAGTCCATTACGTACTGTAAGTTGTGCTTTTCGAGACCTATGGCGAACTTGATGCGTTGTATTGCTGTCTTTGTTACTGTTTAGAGGAGAGCTGTTAGTTGTTTCGGATGATGTAGATCCTGGTGTTGTGGCTGTATTGGTCTCAGCTGCACTTGAAACCGAAATCTTTCTTTGTTTTTTGGGTGTGTGCTCATTTATTTCAGCAGCGCTGGACTCTATTGGTAAATCTATTGTTAGCTCCAACATATCCTCGTCGGAGTCTGGTATTTCAATAGAATTATACATGATTTTGCTCTCATTCGCGCCGCTCTTTTTATCTTGTCAACTCTGTGTTTTCATATCGACTTGTTATATATCTTCATTAATCGATAGTGTTACAGAATGTATCGTTAGATATTTATATCGTTGTCAGCGTTGCCAGACACTTCTAAGAAACAGATGCTTTAGTCGATTTTGTAATCCAATTTAATTAAACAATAATAAAGTTCAGTTTTCTTGTAAACAATATAAAAAATAAACAATATGATGCGCTACGAGGGCAATGAAAAGCTGGCGGATGAAACAGCCTGTGCCGGCGTTCGTGCTGATCTAAAAATGTGCCTGCTGGAAAGCGAGTGCTGCCGCTTGGACAAAAAGACACCGCGGCAGTGCCTGCAAGACAACAGCGTACCACCTGAGTGTCAGGTTCTGCGCAACACTTTCTACGAGTGCAAACGATCTTTGGTGAGTATCCAATTGATGTACGAAGAGCTAGTGAATGAAATTGTGTTATAATTTCAGCTGGATAATCGACAACGCTTTCGAGGGCGCAAGGGCTACTGAGAGATGGATAGTCATAAAACCTTGATCTTATTTTTATTGTTACTTAGTTTTTATTGAATACAAAAAGAAACTGGATGCACAAATTGAACTGATTAATTACGGCGGCGACGCACGCGTGATATACGCCACGCGTTTGGCTCCTCGTACTTGTTGTACAACGGCTCCAATCGTTGGTTCTTCTTGAATTTGCTGAGCTTGGTAGGATCAGAGAAGCGGAAAAAGGATGGGGCAAACTCCACCAACCATTTGGGATCAATGGTTGTTACCTCACGCATATACTCTTTTGTCGTTTGCACCAGCTCATGGTAGATAACCCATTCGGGCTGCCGATTGAATAGCGCGCTTGAAGGATGTATATAAACCACTTGTGAATCGACCAGGGTCCGATACCCTTCTTGTGGATCTTTTTTGGCCGCATTACGAAAGAAACCGGAACATATGGCCTTCTGTATGCGCACCGAATTTTTGCCCGCTGAAACAACGTCCAGCTTATGTCGATCCATGATGCCGAGCAATTGCTTCCTCACATCCTGGGAACGTTTCAGTGTACGGATTTGCACAAAATTCTCATAACACCAGGCATTCGAGAACTTGTTGTTCTTCCAGCTGTTATAGACAGCCAACAGAGTTAGATGATCACCTGCAAGAATAACAGTTAGACATACAATCAATATATGACTATATTCCCGACTTACCCTCTGCTTGGTTAAACTTGGCCTTCTTTTGATCGGCCAACGCTTGCTTATCCTTGGGTCTGTAGAACACGTTCTGTACGCTGAGCATAGAGACAATGGTTAGGATCTCATCCGAGCACTGCAGTGCGACTGACATAATCAGCATTTTCGATAGATTTGGCTCGAGAGGAAACTCGGCCATGCGACGACCAAGGCGTGTCAATAGGCCCTCATCATCGAGTGCAGAGAGCGAATGCAGCTGTTCCAATGCCATGACCAATGACTCCACGGGAGGGGCATCCATAAAATCAAAATGCAGCAAGTCATTGATGCCCATTGTTTTCAGCTGCAACACTGTGGTTGCAAGATTCGTACGCTGGATCTCCGGCACTGGCGTTGGCAGCATCTCATCCCGATAGGCGCGCTCCGTATAGAGGCGATAGCATTTCCCAGGTCCCGTACGGCCCGCACGGCCGGCACGCTGTTTGGCAGCTGCCTGGGAGATGGGCGTGACCACTAGGGAATCCATGCCCGTCTTGGAATTGTAAACCTTCTGCTTTACAAAGCCGGGATCGACCACATAGAAGATGCCATCGATAGTGAGCGATGTTTCAGCTATATTTGTGGCAATCACCACTTTGCGACTGCCTGCCGGCGCTGGATCAAAGATTCGGGTCTGCATCTCGGAGGGAAGAGCCGAATACACAGGCAATATGATTAGCTCGGGCACATCTGGACCCAAGCTTTTCATGCGCTCGTAGAGTATCTCACAGGCGGTGTCAATCTCCTCCTGACCTGTTAGGAAGAGCAGTATGTCGCCAGGGGGTTCACGCAAATGGATTTGCATCACAGTTATGAGCGAAGCGTCCAAATAGTCCGTCTCTGGCTCCTTGGTATACAACACCTCCACGGGAAACGTGCGTCCGGGTATCGTAAAAATAGGGGCTTCAAAGAAATACTGCGAAAACTTGACCGCATCCAAAGTGGCCGAGGTGACAATCAACTTCAATTCAGGACGCTTTTGGACGGCGGTTTTCAGCAGTCCAAAAAGCACATCCGTGTGGATCGTACGCTCGTGAGCCTCATCCAACATGATGACAGAATACGACTTAAGCTCCGCCTCCATTAGACACTCACGCAACAACATGCCGTCCGTCATGTACTTGATTACAGTTTCCGGGCTGGTACAGTCTTCAAAACGTATTGTGTAGCCCACCTCCTGGCCCAGGCGACAGCCAAACTCCTCGGCCACTCGCTTAGCCACAGACATGGCAGCGACACGGCGTGGCTGGGTGCATCCAATCTTGCCCCTGGCCGTGAATCCACACTCGCCCAGATACTGTGTGATCTGCGTGGTCTTGCCGGATCCTGTCTCGCCAATTACAATCAGAATCTGGTTATCCGTGACGGCCTTGATGAGATCGTCACGGAGCTTGTAAATAGGAAGAGATTGGCGTTGCTCGACGAGAGTTAGATCGGTCTTCTTGCCAAAGGAGGATTTCTTGCCACCAATGACGTGTTTCTTCCACTCGGGTACCTCTTGTGGAGCGGCGCCCATGCCGCGCATATTGGCCGCCAGGTGGCGTGAAGAATCATCATCGGGCAGCGGATCGATCCAGTTTTTGTTGAGATTGCTGGGCACTGCTTCCATCTCCTGCTCTCGCTGCAACATTTTCTGCTCACGCCGCTCCTTGGACAAGGCGGACTGCATCATCGCTGCTTGGGCAAGCGAGCCGTCTGGATTTTTAACTATCCGCACGGGAGACAAATCATGCAATGCTCGTCCATGCCCGGAGAGGAAGGGTGGCTCCTCTTCTACAATTTCTATTTCAATGTCCGCCTCGTCGTCCTCGTCTTTGGGCAATAAGCCTGTCTCCTCGTCGAAATCGGGCATTTCACTACGGTCCAGCACACCCGAGCTGATCATTTGCTTAATCTCCCATCGCTCTGGACTGGAGATGCGCGTCACTCGCTTGCGTGACTCGTGCTCATCACCATCAATGTTGTTACCCTGCAGATTGAGCATGGAGGAGGTGCTGTTGTAGGGTCCATCAGGATTTCGATCCCGTAATGCCAATTCATCCTCCTCGGGTGCATGTGACAGTGGATTGAGATCTCGGCCAGTTTCTTGATCCACCTCCTTCATTGATAGTGATACCTTTTGACCGGCTAGCGACATGACCTTCACTTTCACTGTCTGATTGCGTGCCACCACCTCGGTGACATCGGTGACACGCCCCTCGGCGCGTAGCTGCGAGATATGTACCAGACCCTCCCAACGCTTGCGCACACCAAATAGCTGCACAAAGCAACCAAATGGGACTATGTTCGCCACCTTGCCGGAGTAAATCTTTCCCACCTCTGGATCATCGCTCATCCCAGCAGCTGGCGGTGGCATTTTCTCCTGCTGCTGATGGCGGCTGCTGCGCTCATGAGATCGGGAGCGGGAGCGTCGTCTACGTTGCTCGTGTCTGTCCTGCCGCTCTCGTGAGCTAGAACGGCGTTTGCGATGGTCACGGTCATGGTCACGATCACGGTCACGGTCATGGTCACGATCACGGTCACGGTCACGATCACGATCACGATCACGTTCCTCTCGAGATCTGCTGCGCCGGCGTCGATGTTCCTTATCCCGTTCTCTATCCCTATCTCGCTCTCTTTCTCTCTGATTATCCTTATCCCGTTCTCTATGCCGATCACTCTCCCTCTTCCTATCCCTGTCTCGTTCTCTTTCTCGATGTCTATCCCTATCACGGTCTCTTTCGCGGCTTCGACTGCGTTCTTTGCGTTTGTGGCGGTCCCGTGAGCTACTACTGTTCTCTTTTACTGACTCCTGCTCTTTTCTCTCGCCAGGTTCCAGAGCCTCTAGCTCCAGCATGGCGGCATCAACGTCGCTCATATCGTTCTTATTGATTTTTAACTTCTGCTTTGACTCTTTCGCTTCACTCTGTTCGTCCTCGTCCACTTCGCTGCTGAATTTGTCATTGGGGAGAGCTAAGCCGGGAAACATTTTCTTGAGCTGCGATTTTTTGTCTTCTTTGCTATCGTCGTCAGCCGTCATTTTTGCATCGCATTCAGGTCTACTGGGTCGCATTAAATTAATGATGCGTTGCAAGTTTTGCACCAGAGAATCGGGAAACTCGGCACCATTTTCCAGTAGCGCTTTGCGAAACGCATCATAGCTGCGATTTTTCTGTTCCAAGTCGATGATAAATTCAGCTAAATCCTTGTCGTTAATGCCCAAGTGATTGTCAAGCTCGGTGCAGATTTTTGACACCAGGGACAGGTACTCCAGCTTTTGCAATTCGTCCATTTTACATTATGGAACCAACAGCCGCAATGTTTATATATTTAATTTATAAAATCCGCACAAAACGTTTGTCAAGAAATGTGAAACAAAAAGAAAACATGCAAGCCAACTAGTGATGAGTGCGTGCAATCACGCGTGATATCTCGTTTGGTACAAGTGTACCATCTCTCGGTACATTGTACAATGTCTCTTGTTTATACATTTTTTGATTTAATATCGAATTATTAAAGGCTATTATTCATAATGGAATTTTTAAAATCCAGATATAGCAATTTCCGATTTTCGGCATCTTTTTGAGGTACAGTGCGTAGCAGAGCACGCAGTCAAACCAATCAGCAAAACAGCTGATTTGAAGCAGTGTTTAAAAACTACAATGGTGCATAGAGTGGCAACACTTTTGTAATCTTGACATATTTTGATCAAGCTACGCTCGCTTTTTAATGTTTTGTATATTGTTTACAAGTTTCAAAACACCCATTTGAGTTTGAGTGAGAAATTGTATACTGAACGCTTCGGAAATGTCTTCGTTTATCGAATGTTTTAACAATTTCGTGCAAAGCGGTGGGCACATATCACAGAATGTGGCCCATGAAGATACCGAACAGCAACAGTCAACTAATTCAAATATGCTATCTGCAACACCTGCACTCAGTGATTCAGTAAGTGATACCTTATTATACCGAATTATGAAATTATATTGCTATGCAATATATGTATGGTACGGTAGCGAAATATATAAGTTTAGGGGCATTTATTGCAAGGCTTGGGGCTGCCAGACTTGAGTGGCAATTACATGTCTTGTTAATTCTACCAGTATGGCAACGCCTTACGCACACGCCATATTTTAATTGCAAAGACGCAGGCAGTGATTTGTTGAGGAAAACTAAAAAACAGGAATAATAGAAAAAATAAAATTACCAATACCACATCGATAAAAATTGAATTAACAATAAGACTAGTGCTACAAGTTTGTGTGTGCATTGCAAGTCACCGCCAAGAGCGCTGCAAAGCAGCTCAGAAAGAAGAAGCAAAGCTGCAGTCTGCGAGTAACGAAATAAAACAAATAAAAAAAAAAAGAAAAAAAAAACTACACACAATA